TTTCTGAAGCTTTTAAAAAAATGCTTTTCATATTACACTTCTCAGTTTTGATATTTTTACAGTTGCGGATATGGCTTCCAACCAAGTTTTCAGTGGCAGTTTTCCATTGGTGTCCTCAGTCTTTTTTTACCTACTACTTGCTTACTTTTTTAGTCTTTTTCAAAAGAACTTAAACTATTATCATCGCTGTGAGCAGTTTTTGATCTTTTCCAGTGATATTTAAGTTGTAAAAACTTGTATTATGCGCTGAAGTATCAATTCAGACGGCTGCGATTACCACGAGTTTTGAGTTTCTCTTATAACTTTTATTACTGTTTCCTTCAACGGCACCAGTATTGTCACGGCAATTTTTTGAATCTCATACAGTTATAAAAATTAAAACTAATCCATGTTATGATTTCTGAACGGTTACTGCCATGACGAACGCAAAAGTTAAGAATACCATCTCAAAGGGGTACTGAATGGCTACTGGTATTAGAATGACAATCACTCAGCAGCTAGAATCCGCACTTCAACAGATGTTGATCAGCTCAAATGAATCGTCAGAGAGAAGCAGTCGCTGTATAGCAATGTAATTTTAACGATAATCAGCCGGCTGTTCTCCTTTTTTGTAGCCTTTTTCGTAGCACTTTCTTTAATTTCAGTACTTGTCGCTATGTGTCATAGAAGTGGTACTTCTATAAGCAGTTGCTGTGTTCTTCGTTATAAAGGCTTAGTTATCCAGCTTTCTGAAGTTTGCATTTGTTCTCAAGCTTTCTACGGTTGCTGCAAACGATAAATAATAAAATAGAAATTTCCATTCTATTTTTGTTACAGCTACTGTTAACTTTCTCTTTCTAAAAGTAATAATTACTACTGTATAAAGAAAACGTAAAGCGAAAGTTCTATGGAGAGCTGTCAGTAGCCAATTTACTCGGATAACTTCAACAATTCTTAGCTGCTTACCAAACGTCTTATCAAATTGCTGGTGACCACCTTAGAATCTTATCTTTAATGGTTAAATGGATGCGCAACGAAGCAATAAAAATAAACCTCTCCTTTGACATTTCTTCCTCACAGGTTGTTTGAGACGAGACTCCGATTGTTCCGTAATTTATTGCAAAATGTCTCACTACGGGCTGGACTCTAGCCATCAGCAGAAATACACCTCACCATACCAACTCTGCCTTAGCAACAACACTTCACATCTTCGCTCATTATTAAGAGTTCTCTTCAGCATTTTGGCCATTCTAAATTGTTTTCAAACCAGGTCAAATATTCTAAAATACCAAGTAATCACATGGGGTAAATTGTTTAAAAATATAACTCTCCAACCAAATGTTGATAATTCATTTAATCTCTATATCTAATCTTAAATATCGAGTAAGTTTTCAGAAAACGACTAAATAATTTTTTACAGAGAGTAAAAAGAGGTATTTATGACATTTTAGGCTCTAAATTTTAAATTGTCTATTCTTTGCAGTGACATCCAGAAAACCTGTGGCAACGTGACTACTTCTCAAGTAAGCTGTTATCAAATCCTCTCACTCCTCCACTAAAGCTCTGAGTACTTTGAGTGAAATG